AATAATTATGATATTTTACATTTGTTTTCCTAAGTCTTTGAAATCTGGTGTGAATTTTGCACTTACTGCATGTCTTAATTTGGACAAGCCACATTTCCAGTGTCAATAGCCACGTGTGGCTAGTGGCTACCCTCTGGATAGGGCAGTTCTAGGCATTATATTTTCAATTTCCTTCTTCTTTCTTAAGCTTCTAGAAATGTGATGGGAACAATCTGTCATGTGAATTCCTAGCACGGACTGTCTCCACTTCTCATTGTCATGTAGCCTCCTTGCATTATCTATTTTTTGATGCATTTGTCTAAGTCGCAAACTCCTTGAAGGCCAGGACCATATATTCATTGAATTTCAAGGTTTGAAAATAACTTTAACAAAACTGTCAACCAATTCTTCTCTTGATGTGTGGTTCCCCTGCATCAAGTCCCTACTGAGTGAGCACTCAGGATCTACTTGAAGTCATAGTCAGTGGTCAGATATACTCACATGTTAAGACAGACAACTTCCTTGGCTAGAAGGAGATCTTCTCAGGATCTGAAATCTGTTCCCCTGAAGTTTGCATCACATGAAACAAATCTGCTTCACTTGATGGGTTTTTTTTTTCACATTTGGAGACAGCTCAGCCGCTTTCTCTCTTCTACGTGAATCCTTGCAAGTTTGATACTTCTCCACCTCTCATGCTTTTGAGTTCTCTTCACCACGCTACTCTTCTCTGAAGTAATCTCAACCTGATTGAAGCCTTAAAGTGCTCAATCTAGAACTGAACACAACGCTTCCTATGTGGTCTGGCCAGTGAAGAGTATAATTGGGTCACGACTAGCTGCCTCTCTATAAAACACAGTTCTAGGCGTTGGGACACATCACCCTATGGGGAAGGGAGAGTGGAGGAGAAAGGGCCACAACACATTATTAACTCACAGCAACTTTGCCTCCTTGGCTTCTAGTCCAGAACTCTACATACATACACCCCAGAGTTTTTCAGGTTAGTTAGTTTTTCTTAATACCTTTCTGTGTTTTCAACTGAGCTAGGGAATCTTCAGTCTTCTTATTGCTGGCTGGGGTCCTCCGATCAAAGGACCAACTGGCAGAGACAACTTTAGAACTAAGCTGAGAATATACAAGCTTACGCAAAGCGGAACTTGAGACAAGAGAACCGTGTATAAAGTGTTCATCAGCCACAGGGCTCTGGCTGATGATGACGATGGCAATTACCCGGTTCTTGTTCATTCATCACCTTACGGAGAATGGCAGGGAGAAGACGCGGCGGCCCGAAGTCACTGCAGGGAAAGCCTCAAAGGCAGTGAGGTGGAGAAGGCAGGCCTGGCCGGGGGCGGGCTCCCGCCACACCATGGAGTCCGCGGGACACGCGCCTTCGCCCGCACCCGCCAGCGGTCGCGTCCTCCTCGCCGGCCCGGAC